CGGGGGCCGGGACCCACGCTCCTCCCCACCTCCCCCCCCCCCCCCCTCCCCCCACATCCGCAAGGGTTACATGCGCGATAAAAAGTTAAACTAATACATGTAAAATGAAAGGAATAAATAATAATATAGTAATAGCGTAGCTTCAAAAATCACACAGAAAAATAAAGAATATGAATGAATAATAAACAGAACAGAGGATATCGCAATCGTTTCACTCGAAGATAAGTAAAGACGATGGATTGTTACAATATGATTTCACCCTTGTATATAATGTTGAGAAAATATCATCTATTGAAGTTATAGAATAGTCAATTGAATAAAAAGATGAAAATTTTTCACATCTATTCATGTCACTTGAGCTGGTGTTATTGATGACCAATGCAATTCGTAGGATAGATTAAGTATTCTACAGAAGCCTCATCGTCATTATTCGTTCGTAATTTCACAGTTGATGAATATTTTGCAACATCTAATAATAAATCAAATGATCCAGTACCAATTTTAGCTAATTTTCCAAGTGAAATATTTTCTAAAACACCTTTTAATAAATCATATTCTGAATGAGTAGCAGCTTCTATTAAAGCATCAACAGTTTCCTCAAATGAACATCTTATAATAGGTCCAACACTGAGTCTATTAACTCCATGTCTTTTAATAGGCATTAAATGTCCTTTAGTCGTCATAATATCACATAATACAGCTAAATGTCTATAATTAACATAAGATCCATCAAATGAAATAACATAATTTATTTCATGTTCAATTGATTTTCTAGCAGCTTCAATTCCAAGAATATCAAATATTTCTACAATATCATTTGTATATGTTCGACGCGAATCAACATCTTTAGTTGATAAAACTTTTTTAAAAGCTGTTCCATCAGTTACTAACATCCATTCAAAAATTTTATGAATTTCTCCATTATCATTAATTTGAATTCTTTGTTGTGAATCATCAAATATTGGACGAGCTATATAAACTTTTGATATACCTTCAATGCCTTGTAAAGTTAAATCAGTAAGAATTGAAGGTTCTAAATATCGAAGAAAAGTATTATCATCCATACGAGTTATATTTTTTTGATCGTATTGTGTCGATGATTTAACTTGATTAATGATACGTATTCTTAAAACAAGTTTTTCAGCATTATCATCATTATATATAACATTAAGACAATCACCAAAAGCTTGTGAAATTTTTTCAGATATTTTTTCCATAGTTAATGTTCTATCAGTTATACGTTTTCTATCTAATTCAATTCTTAATAACCATTGTGAAAGATTTCCTATATCTTGATCAGGCATTTCATAATATGCATTAACCCATTCTTGATCTTCTGAAATAATTGTTTCTTGTGGATCAGGATCATAATAAATGGCTGTATTAACAGTTGTTTTCCTTAAATTACAATGTTCAAGACGATATAATACTTCTTTACATTTTTCAACATCATTTGTTGCTTGTCCAGTTAAATAAATAGTTAATGATGGTGTTTTAGGTTCTTTTGAAACATTGATTATTTCTTTAAGACGTGGAATACCTAATGTAACATTTTTAGCTGAAACACCACTATAATAAAATGAATTTAATGTCATTTGTGTAGTTGATTCTCCAATTGGTTGTGCAGCTAAAGCGCCAACCATTTCACCAGCTTGAACTTGTGCTTGTTGAAAACGTGTTTCAATTTCACTACAAAGCCAATTAAATGCTTCATTTGTTAAACGATGAAATTCAAGAACTTGACGAGATGATAATGATGAACGTAATAAGATATTCATTAACATTGTTGCATTATATTGGGCTTCACGTGATAAACGATCATCACCTTTTTTTACAATAAAAAACAAATATCCTTGTTTTTGCTATATTAGAAAAATTCTTACCTTTAACAACAATAAGATGTTGTGTTAATTTTTGTAAACCTTGAATAACTTGACTAGGTGATAAATTTGATTGTGTTCGATTTGAAATAGAAAATTTTTTTTTTGCATTATAAATTAATCTTTCTAAATTACAAGGTAAAACAATTTTTGATGTATTACCGGTTGGAAATAATTGTCTTAAATTATGTCGATCTTCATTTAATTGTTTCCATTCATCATCTAATAATTGTAATGATTCATCTGTATATAAATCTTTAATAACATCATCAGTTAAAAATTTTCTTAAATGTTTTTCTTCAGCTAATAAATCAAATTTACATAAACGTTCAAATAATTTATTTGATGGATTTAATGATATAATTGATTGAAATTCAATATTTTCACCGGCAAGACCATCTTCACCATATGTAAATTGAATTATTTGTTCAATTTCATTTCTAACAGTACCATCATATTTAACCATAATAGATTCCATAGCTTTAATTAAACGTCGTTGTATATATGACAAGTTTCAGCTGTTTGAACAGCTCTATTAACAAGACCTTCTCGTCCACCCATAGCATGAAAATAAAATTCAACTGGTGTTAAACCTTGTAAATATGAATTTTCAACAAAACCTTTAGCTTCAGGTCTATAATCATCTTTAGTAAAATGTGGCAATGTACGATGTTCAAAACCAAATGAAATACGTTTTTCTTCAACACTTTGTTGTCCAACACAAGCAATAACTTGTGCAATATTTATAGATGAACCTTTAGCACCACTAACAACCATAGCTTTAAATTGATTAAAATCAGATAAAGATCTTTGTGCTAATGAACCAGTACTATCTCGAGCACGATTTAAAAGACTATTAACTATATTTTCAAATGTTTGTCTTAAAGAATTTCCAGGTGTTCGTTCTAATGACTTACGATGTGCTAGTTCAATAACTTTATTAACTTCATTTTTTGCTTTTTTAATTGTTGTTTGAATTGTTTCATATGTTTGTTGATCAACTATTGTATCAGCTATACCAACTGAATGTCCTTCTAACATTAACCAATTGTTAACAACAAGTTGTATATGATAATATAATTGTCCAGCTATTTGATAACAACATTCCATAAAAACAATATGTCCTAATGAACCAGTTGACGTACCTAAAGTTTTTTTTACATAATATACCTGATAATAAACGTCCATTTTCAATTAAAACTTTTGTATCACTAGGTGATATCCATTTATATGGTCCACTATCTTCATCATATGAATGTTGACTATTTGTACGTATACAATTAATTTCACGTGGAAGAATTAATGAAAATAATTGTTTACCAGTCCATAATGGTTTTGGTTTTAAAATAGTTGCTTGTGGTATATGTCCATTCCATGATGATAAGTGCATTAATAAATTCATAAAATCACTTTTTTCAATAAATACATCACGTTTAGTCATTTTCCAAACAGCTGTTAATGTATCTTGTACAATACTCATAACAGGTCGATGTGATTGTGGTGTTATTATTAAACGTGGTACCATCATTAATTCAGATAATTCAGCTTTAGCTTCAATTGATTGTGGTAAATGTAAATTCATCTCATCACCATCAAAACTAGCATTATATGGTGTTGTTACAGATAAATTTAAACGAAATGTTGACCATGGAAGAATTTTAACACGATGTGCCATCATTGACATTTTATGTAATGTTGGTTGACGATTAAGTACAACTAAATCATTATCCATCATAAATCTTTCAACAATATAACCCGATTGTAAATGCAAATCAGATGGTTTTGGATGAAGATGAAGATCAATTATCTCACCTGTATCTAATATTATATTTTTAGCAGCATCATGACAAATTAATTCTTGTAACCATTTTATATTAAATGGTGTTACAATTTCAGGTATAGTTAAATTTCGTGCTATTGTGCGTGGTACGCCAACTTGATCAATTGATAAATTTGAATCTGGTGTTATTACTGTCCTCGCACTAAAATCAACTTGTTTAGCCATTAGATCTCCTCGAATTCGACCTTCTTTGCCTGAAAATTATAACACTTATACATATATATATGAGATTGAGGAGTCGAACTGAATACCTCAACTATTTTTCATATCATATAGCTTCTATAATACATTAGAGAATTATGATTTTCTTTTTATCAATGATAGTACTCCTATAATGCTGATGATCGGTCACCTTATTAAAATCTTTAAAAAATCTCTTACTAATTAATTATGAATATTTTTTTTTAAAAAGCTTTAAGTATTTTGTTTTTGAATAAAGTATAGACCCCTTAAACTTGATTAATCATCAACAGTATACAAGTATTATCAGTGTTAAAAAAATCATAATTCTCCAATGTATTATAGAAGCTACATGATACGAAAAAACATAGTTGAAGCATCCAGTCAGACTGCTCAACCCCATATATAGAGAGAGATAATAAAATAAAAGTGATGAACCTTCTAATCGTTCTTTTATAGATTTTAATGGTGTTCCACTTTTCTGACAAGATTTTGGTATTCCAGGCTTATTATTATCAATTAAAGTTGCACAATGATATTGAAGATGTTGCAAATCTTCTTCAATGATATGTGAAGCTTCACCATGTTGTTCATGTTCACGTAAAATATTATTTGCTTTAATTATATTTGCTAAGTTGTATGTCAAATCATCATGACAATGAGTTACATCATCAAATGATGATATTGATGGATGAACACACATAGGAGGAACTGGCAAAACAGTTAGAATCATCCAATCAGGTCGTGTTTGTTGAGGATTCATGCCGAGGATTTCACAAATTGGATCAGAAATTTTTTGAAATATTTCCAGTACACGTGCAGCTGATAATTTTGATCTCGTTCCTTTATTTTCATTTAATGTTTGTTTCCATTCAATTGTCAATTCTAAACCCGATCGACGATAAATTGGTTGTTTTCTTCCACAACCATCTGAAGTTTTAATTGTTACGTGGTTTTCATTCTTAGTTCCTTCAATACAACAAAATAAAATAAAACTTTGAATTAAAACTCAAACCTTGACAAATCTTTTGTCTTTTACATGCATCAAAAACATAAGCAAGACGTCGACGATATTGTCCTTTTGTTTTTTTAATAATATCAATTATTTTTGAATCATTTGGATCGACCAATAGTTTCGAACAATGAAAACAAACACATCGTAAAATTTTCAATATTTTCAATAAAAAAACAATATTATATACGGGCTTGATCACTATTAGAGATCAATAGAATTTATCTATTTAGTTGATGCTAAAAACGGAAATGAAGAATAAAATTCAATACTGACATTCAATGTGACCAAAATGTCCCGGACATTCAACATAAGAACCAGCGCAAGTATGACATTTTGAATTTTGATCAAGTGGACCCTGTCGTGGATCCATAAGACCTTGAGTTTTTGCTTTTCCTTCTTGCAATAAATCTACATATTCAATCGGTGGATCTGTTACCGACATTCGTCGAATTTCATCTGGAGATAAAATTCCGAATTGTATACGGTTCACATTACGATGTGACTCCATTGAATCAACTATTTGTGAATTTAAGTAAACCATTTCATTACTTTAAATTCAATAGTACAAATGCCACAATTACATTTAAATATGCATAATTTATATTACAACAATCTTAGTACTATGATAGAATCTTACCAATGACCAATGAACTCAATGAAACACGAAAATAGATTAAATTTTACTCTACACTTTCGCTTCCACGTTGAAATATCTCATAAAACATGACACAATAACGCACCATTTACATCTCGACAGTTACGCAAGAACGATCAAACTTCGATTGGTCTCTTTCTTTGCACCAAATCCATTGATATTTTTCGACAGATGGTGTTGCTTGTCACCAGACCTTCTCGACAGTACAACCATTCGATGCTCTATTTAGTGTCTATATTGAAAAAAAGTATGACATTAAATCGCGATCATTTATCAATTTTTTTTTCAAGACTACTATGATTGATAGAAGTTGCTTTTTATGTAGAGATTCGAAACTATTTGACATACTTTTGCACAAGTTTCCGATATATAGGAAAATATTTTTAAAAACTAATTCGAAAAATCCATTTTCCATCATAGAACTTGGAAATTTCATCTTCAGTAAGAAATGTCTGAAAGCATCAAAACTACGAACTCTTAATTGTTTCGCTGTGATGATGATAACGTTTTTAGTATGTTAGCGCATTTTTGAGTCTCAAGTTAAGATATCAAAAAAAATTCTATAGGAAGGCTTCTTCTGTGAGAAATATCATACAGATTTAATCAAGCAATGATCTTTAATACTTTAACGTAATTTTTGATCAAAAAATCTCGCTTATGTCTTAAGTTAATCATAGTTTCAGAAACTCAGATATTGGTAACTTTTTCAAAATGTTCTGATACACTCGAAAAATGTAGGTTCAATGCTGAACTTAAATAGAGGTTCCGTAGAGATATGAAAATGTTAAGAGACGCTTCACGAACCACTCGAGAAATCGTGTCATAAAGGCATGAGTATGGATGTGAAAGTCGGAGGGTGTCAGTGGGTGTGGATGGAATGTGGATATTTGTCTTGTAGTTCACATCTACACCCACACCCACACCCACTTTCTATGCTATTTGTCGTAATATTATCATTAGAAGAAAAGAAATTATGTGCTGAAGATGTATTTGAAAATAGATATATGTTTCTTCTATATAGCGATATTAAATGAATCTATGAATAGTCGAAATGCTTGACATTTACAATAAATTATATGAATCTCTCTGGCAAGATGAATTCAGGGTATGGGTGTACTCAGATTCTTCAGTTCGATAGCACCATACTTTAGTAGCAGTGACAAAAATGGGATGATTTACTCATGGATCTATATGAGAGTGTAGGTGAATATAGTACTTTAATTGATACTCACTATCTAGCGTACTGAATCAACGTTCAATTGCATCATATTATAGGAAAGTCATCAAAAACTAGTTAGCTCAAGCTCTATTGAATTCTCTCTCTTCAAACATCTTTCATGAGAACGTTCAATCATTATTGTGCATAGCAGTATCTCATATATTTTTTTTCTAATAGCGTATAAATATCAAAACTTCATTTCACTTGAATGCCGATTTTGTTGCTTTTCAAAAGTGAGATGAAACTTAAAGTTGACGGTCAACAAAGTGTTTCGTGTGATGACTATTTATGCAAGGCTTTTTTTTGAAAGTGAAAGCAAATACTATGTTTTTTCTTAGATGAGAATAAGAAGACAGTAGGTAAGACAGCAACATAATTTTGTTTTGTTTCTGCTGACGATTCATGAAATACAAACGTTACGGATCATGTTTGCCAAATAAAGAGAAGCAAACTTACCTTTTTCACCTCGCCTTATCCGAAATACAGAAGTATCAGATAATGAGAATATGAGTGTTACAGGTGCGATACAGAAAGCGCTATTGTATTGATATTCGGCATTTATTTTAGCATATACTAGATTGAATAGCACACAAAAACACTTTCATAAACTTTTCTCACCATCAAACGTCAAAACATCAGAAAAATATTTCACTGGATGATTATGTCAAAGGACACTAGTAGTAGGCAGGCAGTTGAGTCTGAAAAACATTGCTGAATGAGTAGAGGAAGATAGAGATGTAGTATAGTGAATAGGTAAAACAAAGATTCTGTGGGGTGTAGGTGTAGTGTGTGAATAAAGAGAAGACGCACACGCACATGCACACCCCAGAATTTCATTACTAGTATTTTCTTCATCATAGTGTCTGCTTTTCAAGAGACATAAATAAGATAGTTAATGTCAGTTTTTTGTCTGAGCTAGTTCAAGTGCTGCGTAGACTTTATAGACATTTACATCGTTTTGAAGTTTGTTATCGGACTTAATTTTTTCTATAGAGTTTTCTATGAAGTAATTAGGCACAACTGTAACAGTTCGATTTGAGACAGTACAATGCTTCAAGCTGTCAAAATAAACTCATTCTGAATAGATTGAGAAAATGATGTTTATATCCAATTAATTTATTGACTATTCTCGACAGCAACACATTCGAACAAAGATTACTAATAGGGAACTACTACATTATAAAACTGAAAATAGACGTTTCTATTCTCTATATCATCGTTATATTTTACGTTTCTATACATACAAAGAATTCGAAAAATATTACTCGCAAAAACAAAGAGAGACACTCTGAAATAAAAGTTGCAAAACAAATAACTTAAATTGTCGCAACTACTAGAATATCTTAGGATTTTTATGTTTGAGTGTGAGTCTTTACTCTACTCTCATTAGATACCCAGCATCAACACTCACAATCATGTATAAATCGTCAATTTCATCATTCAAGATTCAGTGTAAAAATAGTCAACAGAACGTTAGAGAGTAACGATCAATATGAAATCTTATTTTACATCTTATAATAAACATAGAGGCTTTCAATTTTTCTAACGTCAAATTTCTTTTACATTTTTTTTATTATGATACATTAGTCGTACAAGAAAAAGATGAAACATTATTTTGACTCTCAATCACTGCAAACAAAATCAAAATACTTCATTATTCTTTAAAACTTGTTTCCTTAAAGTTTTATACTTTTATTTTTTTGAAGACGCCATGTGTTCTTGCAATNTTGATTTTTGTCCTGTCCTGCCGCCCGCCAGGACAGAGATTGCCAACAGGACAAAACAGGACAGGACGCGATTTTGATTTTTGTCCTGCCCTGCACCGCACCAGGACAGAGCTGGCTAGCAGGGCAGGGCAGGACAGGACGAAAAATCTTGTCCTGTGTTCATCTCGGGCAGGGACTGCGCTCACAAGCTTTTTTTTGTAAAACTCTTGTATTAATAAATAGTCAAAGGGAATAGTACCATTGGAAGACATCTCAAAGTGTGGGTGTGGATGTGGGCATGCAGCAGAATAAGGCTGACATCCACGCACACACACCCGCAGCCACACCCCACGCCCCCAAACCCAAACCCAAACTCACATCCACACCCACATCCCCCCCCACCCCCTACCCACACCCACACAGACACACCCCACACCCCCAAACCCAAACTCGCACCCGCACCTTCCACTGCTACATTTAAAAAGAGTGCGCCGTCGACGAGAACGACCGCTTATGATAAAATACAATAAAAAACGGTAAACGTTCATTCAACTTTCTACAGCTGATGCATACGATGGCTTACGATTTTGGTCGACCACCGTTTACAGTCGCTGTATTTTCACGGTAGCCGTAAAGCATCTTTTCCGATCGCTGTAAACAGCCCCCGTACACGGCTGTCGTTTTCCACTGTATTCATCAGATCTTTTACCATGGGACTTTTGGCTAAATGACTATATCAAGAACAATCTGATGGATCGAGCAAACGAAGAATCACTAGCTCAGGCGATTTCGAAGATAGTAAAGAATATTCCAGAAGAAGAGCTTAAAAAGACTTTCAACGAATTGTTAGAAAGGATGGAACTTTGTATAAATAATAATGGTGACTATTTTGAACATTTAATAAAATAAAACTAGAAATATCTCGTTCATTTTTATACTTTTATTTGACGTTATCAGAACTATTGCTCAATCCTTAGTATTATAGACTTTACCCAAAAGAATGCTAGAATTAAATCCATGATAGAGTTGTTATATGCATTATTATGGACGAGACATTTAACCGTTTATTCATGTAATAAATCTTTCAAAGCTAAATGCCATGACCAGAACTTTTGGACAAACCTAATTATATGAGCATGTGTTGCTGGAAGTGATTTTTCTAAGAGAAAAAGTGCATTTTCTAGATATAAAAGTGCTTTCGAGCAGTCAGCCATCCTGTTTTTACGCTTTATAGATGTTCTTCTAGGAAGTACCCAATTAGATAAAATTCGGAAGCAGAGCTTTCGAGCAGATTATGTGCTATTCGTAGAATTCAAGAGCTTTTGAGTAGTCACTGATGTTCTTGAAGGAATTAACTAAAATCGGATGATTCGGAGGAAGAGTTTCTTCGTAAATTTTATGCGTCTTTTTGTGAAATTCAAGCGCTTTTGAGTAGTCACCCATCTTGTTATAAACTTGAGCAATGCTGCTGTAAGAAGTAATTAATGAAGGATGATTCGAAGGCAGAGTATTTTCGGCGATTGTATATGCTTTTTCGTAAAATTCAAGTGCTTTTGGGTAGTCTCCCATCATGCCATACACTAGACCGATGTTGTTGTAGAAGGTAGTCAATGAGGGATGATTCGAAGGCAGCGTTTTTTTGGCAATTGTATGTGCTTTTTCATAGACCTCAAGTGCTTTTGAGTAGTTGCCCGTGCTGCTATACAGCAGACCAATGTTATTGTAGGAAGTAGCCAAATCTGGATGATCCGGGGGGAGAGCTTTTTCGTAGATTTGATGTGCTTTCTCGTGGAATTCAAATGCTTTTGGGTAATCCCCCATGATGTTGTACAGTTGACCAATGTTGTTGTAGGAAGTGGCCAAATCGGGATGATTCGGAGGCAGAGTTTCTTCGTAAATTTTATTCACTTTTGTGTGAAATTCAAGTGCTTTTGCGTAGTCACCCATCTTGTTATAAACTTGAGCAATGCTGCTGTAGGAAGTAATTAATGAAGGATGATTCGAAGGCAGAGCATTATCGGCGATTGTATATGCTTTTTCGTAGAATTCAAGTGCTTTTGGGTAGTCGCTCATGGTGCCACACACTAGACCGATGTTGTTGTAGAAAGTAGCTAATGAAGGATGATTCTGAGGCAAAGCTTCTTCAGCGACTTGATGTGCTTTTTCGTAGAATGCAAGTGCTTGTGGGTAATCACCCATACTGTTGTACAGTAGACCGATGTTGTTGTAGGAATTGGCCAATTTCAGATGATTTGGAGGCAGAGTTTCTTCGTAAATTTGATGTGCTTTCGTATGGAATTCAAGTGCTTTTGAGTAGTCACCCATCTTGTTATATACCAGACCGATACTGCTGTAGGAAGAAGTAAATGAAGGATGATTCGGAGGCAGAGTTTTTTCAGCGATTGTATGTGCTTTTTTGTAGACTTCAAGTGCTTTTGAGTGGTCGCCCATGCTGTCATACACTTGACCGATATTGTTGTACGAAGTAGCTAAATCTGGATGACTCGGCGTCAGAGCCTTTTCGGCGATCGTATTTGCTTTTTCGTAGAATTCAAGTGCTTTTGAATAGTCGCCCATGGTGCCACACACTAGGCCCATGTTGTTGTAGGATGTAGCCAATGAGGGATGACTCTGAGGCAGAGCTTTTTCGTAGATTTGGCGTGCTTTTTTGTGGAATTCCAATGCTTTCGAGTAGTCACCCATGCTATTATATACTAGGCCGATGTTGTTGTAGGAAGTGGCCAAATCGGGATGATTCGGAGGCAGAGCTTTTTCGTAGATTTGATGTGCTTTTTCATAGAATTCAAGTGCTTTTGAGTAGTCATCCATCGTATTATAAACTTGACCGATGTTGTTGTAGGACTCAGCTAAATCGGGATGATTCGGAGGCAGAGTTGTTTCTCTTATTATAAGTGCTTTATTGACGAATTCAAGTGCTTTGTGGTAGTCACCCATGTTTTTATGTGCTAGACCGATGTGGTTGCAGTTTTCGGCTAATAAAGTATCATTTTTTGGAACAGTTTCGTTGCACATTCTGAGCGATTTCTCATGAAACATAATTGCTTCTTTGTATTGTCCTTGGTCGTATTTCACCCATCCAAGATGCTTATAGATAGATGCTTTGTCACTATCGTTTGAAGCATTCTTGAGTAGTTCATTGTAGAGCTCTTCAGCTTGAGCCGCGTGACCCACTTTAAGCATGAGTTGACCCATCCGATTCCATCCAGTACCGGTGATCTCCTCTTGCATGCGTTGCGTGAGAGCCACCAGTTGTGGATCGTTGTCATCGGTGAAAGTCAATTGAACTTCCCATAGACGACTATCGTTGGGTGTTTGTTTGATTTCACCAACACGAAAAATAGTATTAATTGAAAAAAGAATTTCCTTTTCGCTTTTCATAGCGCTATATTTATCGATCAGAGCAAATGGAGTTTTTGAAGCGGATACTTTAATCGGATCGACTGTGATAATGAATAATACACCAACAATGTCTTTATTTTTGTGCATCGCACGTTGAACAAATTCCATGGCTACGTTTGTTTTTCTAGTAGTAGACAAGAAATTATTGAATGAGAGAAGTCCTCCTGCCGAATCGCACAGACTTTGAAAGGCTTGTTGAGTGAGTGCCTGACCACGATAAACAATAAATTGTTGTTTATATTCTTTCGCCTGTTTTTCGTGGAGTTTCTCTAATTGTTGATGAAGACTGCGAATGAAAAAGCCCATTTTTGCCATGGCTCCCATGTCGAGAGACCGTAGTGCATGATTGAGCATGCTGTACAGAAAAATTTCACAAGTATACCACCAGACTGTCGTTTTTTGGTGATATTTACCCTGAAAGTGTACCAATTGGGATTCAGGAATGTCTTTGCTACGACAATAGGTCACCAGATCTTCGATCGATTTTGCATCATCTTGATCGATTTCCAATAGGATCTCTTTGAATAATACTGAATACATATAGGACGGCTCCAACTGGTTTTGACATTGTGGATCTGATTTTGATTCTGCTGTCATCATGCGCTTCGGAACAAAGTTCATCGAAATGGCATTGTGATCGCATTGCCGAGCTACTCTTTTTAATGACTCACATATGGGCTGAATTGAGGTGAAAACACCTTGAATTTTTGACCATTCCTTTGCCCATTGTTCATGGCATGCTTGGTTGCTACAAAAGATGTAAATGGTATCTAATTGTGCCATCCCATGAATAATTGGCACGAGATGCTGGCCTAAAGCTCCAGAAGAGATGACGAAAGCTTTCTCGTCATCTATATCATTGAGAAATTGAATACACTGTGCCGGCGTTGTGCAAATGTGAAGCTCATTCACGATACTGCGTAGTTGCTTGAGCGTATTTTGACAATCCTTATGCTCTTGATCAATATTGCCATCAACCCAAATAAGAAAATAATTTTGAATAATGTGCCGTCTTGGTTGGATGGTATTCGATGATGCCGTTGATGTTGCAGCGGCACCCATTGATGGTGTGAAGATTTTTAGCTTAGATTTTTTTCCACCCATATTGAGTACAGATTTCAATTAATACAGCCGATGCCTTTGTTTCCGCTAGAATTTTTCACGATGAGAAAGATGGTTTTGTTTTCGTTGGCTCTAACTAATAAACTCCATACAGTTAAAATTAGAGATATGACTGTGAACAAGAAAACAAGATAGAAAATAAATCTCACAACGTCGTTGATAGTATTGCTATTCTTTCCAAGTTCCATTAGCCTTTCATCCCCGCAATAACTTGGATGTCACAGTGTTAGATAGTTTATGGGTATAAGTACCAATGTATGTGAAAAGATACACATCAACACACATTCACACGTACTATTTTAGAAGATATTCGGAACTATATTTTTTAAATGGCGTCAAAGATTAACTTGCTGAATACTTAAGCTATATGTTTATTCTCAATTTTCTTCAGAAAAGCTTTCAATACATGTCTATGGTAGATTTGGGTGGTAAGTCTTTTAGCAACAAGCCTTGCTTGAAAAAAAAAGTTTAAAATAGTTATACTGCAAACTAAGGAGCCCGTCATACTTTTTACCACGTTTGTTACACGAAAATCCTTTACGATGGTCGCATTGCACAGATCGGTTTGCAAATAGTACATGTATTCGACGACAAAAATTTCGCCCGTATTGAAATAAATTTTTTATATTATTTTGACGTATGAGAATAGAATGTAACGCATATATGTACGGAGAAGTTCGAGACATTTACGCAGCACATATTAGTTTTATAAGTGTTTGCTTCTTCTTTGAGCAAAGTAAAAATATGTGAACACATCCATTTTTGGATGATTTGTTGAGAGATGAGATGGATCGTGTGAAGTGAGTTCGAGTTTATAACTTTTGACCATTCAGAGGGAAGAGCTTTGGCTATGCTCCGTCAACGGGCAATACAAAGAACACTGAGCGCGAAATTTCGATTTGTAATTCGTTCACTAGAAATCCGTCAGCTCGAAATTTCTGTCTCATATCATAGAACCCATCTCATCTCTCAACAAGTCATCCAAAAATGGATGTATTCACATATTTTTACTTTGCTCAAAGAAGAAGCAAACACTTATAAAACTAATATGTGCTGCGTAAGTGTCTCGAACTCCTCTGTACATATATGTGTTGCATTCTATTCTCATACGTCAAAATAATATAAAAAATTCATTTCAATACGGGCGAAACTATTGTCGTCGACTAATGGTTCAGAAGCAATAGTAATATACTGAAATTCTCAATCACGCAATGGCATACACATGAAAATGTTAGAACAGTAGGAAACACTCACAATCTGCTTTTAGCAATAAGTTCAAGCCCTCTAATAGGATTCATATCACTACCCTGATTGATTTACAATACTTCTACGACTTTTGAATAAGATTCAATTGGCTCGACTTTATCTGCTTAAATGTCGTTTCTCACATATGCTAACTTCAAAGAGATTTTGCTCTAGAAAGAAAAGCATGTCAAACGATGAAATTCATCTTATTTCTGCAATCACTCTAGGATCGATGCTAAGGATGTCATAGTTCGTGGCCTTTTGGGGTCCGTTCCTAGGAAACAGGAAGACAACTTGAAATTTCTCTTTCACGCATCGATGAGCATTCAGAGATGTTTAGACATACCTATTCTTTCTATTTGTATCAAGTGACTATGGATTCCTGGATTCGTAGGAACGGAACCTGAAACTGACACTCCGAATCGATGGTCATACAAAAGAACGAATCGGGTGCCTTTTGTTGAAAAATTTCACTAGGCGTTGCATTGGAATAGCTGTGAAGATTCTTCAGTTCTAATCGAATAAAGACTGTTTTGCTTTGATGTTCAGATCTCAGATTTTGATTGAGTTCGTCGATGTTCAAAAATGTTCTTCACTGCTTCTACGTACATTATTAAAACATTTCTATTAAAGTTCTTGAATTGGCTGCTATTTTAGCTTAAGAGTACGATTCATGTCTTATACCACTATTATTCTGGTTGACATCTAAGCATTGTAAAAGTTATCTTGTTGGACATGCTCTATGGTATGATAATTTTACGTATCGAACCTACCTTCAATCTAAATTATCGATTCCATATACTGAGCATTCTCAAGTGAAGCTTTCTCAAATTCACTTTCTTATAATTTAAATGTCTAATTTCTATGTTCTTTCATATTTTGCTGTTTTTAGTATACTTTTGACTATCAACTTTAGTTTATCATCAGTCTAATAATATTGAAAATCAAATATACTTACATACTAACTGATACCGAAGTGTGTGAATTTGTTTTGTATATTTGTAACCAGTTTTGCTTCGTATTTATCGTCGACGAACTTATCTGTTTTCTACAAACTTATGTTTTTTTTACGTGAATCAATCAACCATGACATTTTCTTGTCGTTAGTAATTTCTTTCATGATGTGCTGTTCACCATCGTCAGTGTTTCGTTCTTTAAATATTTTTTTACTTCCTTTAATGTTGACGAAATTACTTGGCTTCTTCCAAATAATGTTTTTTTTTACGTGAATCAATCAACCATGACATTTTCATGACGTTGACAATTTTTGTAATGTTATACTCATCATCGCTTGTATTTCGTTCTTCCTATAGTGTTACTCGTTTTTTGCGTTGTTACCATAAGAAAATATGCATTTATATGTCCCTACATGAACGCATAATACTCGAATATGAAAGTTTCTCTGTCATGTGTAAACAAAATAATAGTAGTCTGACCTCACATATGAGAAATTTTAGTAGTGCATTTTTCTATGCCAATGACTCGTTCTATCGATCACAAACCAACTGTTTCACTTAGAAGAACTGATCGATGGAATTTCATTTTGTAATTAAGTGATCGATGATGATGGTTATTGAGAACAACCCATTGAAAGGTACAAAAATCACACACAAGATTGTAGCATCTAATTTAATCAGCTGTGAAATAGATTATCGGTTTCATTGTTTGATAGCACGTTGTTCGTCAATGTTGAACCGTTAATTGGGGGACAAATTTTAAAGTACAACATGCTTAAATAGAAACTGTGAAATAGTAGAGAAATGCAGCGTAGGGTGTGGATGTAGGTAGATTAAGAGAACACCTAAATCCATGTTAACACGCACAATTTCCAGGAAATTCGATAACTATCTAGTAAATTTGACAATTTTTCTTTTCAACTGTGCTAGCGAAACTAAGATACAGATGGTGCAGTGCGAAAATGAGCGTGAGGGAGAAAACGATGATACATTGGGCTTAGAGTCTGCATGACAGCCCCTATTTGAATTATAATTATAGGTGTGATAAAAATTTCATCTTTGGTCGCGTTCATGATAGTACCAATGAAATTCGAAAATGTTGACTTATTCTCATAGTCAAATGAAGGTCAAAAACAATGAGCTCGAAAGTGCGTAAACTCCAAATTTGGAACTCACTTACGCATCCGTATTTTCCTCATTGACCTCAGATCATGTTATAAAATTCATAGCAAATAGCAGGCTCACATCAATTCAAACCATAGACTATGAGCATTATGTAACTGTAAATTAGTTAATTAATTAGTACTCATCTTAATTAGGGTATAGGTGTGGATGTTGATCGTCTCTTGGATCACGCATATCCACATCCACATCCTTTCGATGATAATGATAAAGAAGATGATCGTTGCTATTGTGTGTGATTTAATGAACACAGATTAGATTCCAACAATTTTGTTGATAGATATTTGCTTTTTTTGTTAATTATATATGAAAATAATCATTGAAAATAAAGGTTAGGTGCACTGACATACCTTAGGGCGTATAGAATCAATAGAATAGGATTTTCTGGAATGCATATTTTTTATATCTTTCGCGTTCTCGTGTTCCCGTGCAGAAATCTCCACGGAAATTCCCGTTTCCGCAGGACTCTACCACCCACACCCTCAAGCTCTTAATGAAATAGAAAAAGTTAATATTAATAATCTTTTTGAACAAAAGAAAAATATATCTAATTGTTTGAAATATTCCAGCTAAGTGAACACATTCGACGCGTTGTAACAGTTG